CATGTCCCTGATTTGCATGAAATCCGATATAACAACCCTTCAAAGATTCAGAGAAAAATTAAATTTATACTCGCACTGTGAGCATTTAAAAAAGCTTTGAGATTGTGAAGCATCTTTATCATTGGCCACATCCCCACAAAGCAGGCAACAACGTTGTGGACAATACCAGCTTCCTTCAGGCAGCACCTGGAGAAAAGAATAAAGCAGGTTGAGTTCCTTGTACATGATTCTATCTTTCTAAAGTGATCTATAATGAAAAAGGACAGCAGAGGAAAAAAGAGGCGTGAAAACCGGAAAATAAGCCTAGCACTTCTATTGTTGGCCCACTATGTAGAATACATGTTCTACTCCAATTAATTCCCCAGTAAGAAAGTGCATTTTTACCATGAATAAGATGAATCTTGCACATAAATAAATTTAACACATTTTACAAATCTTTAGACAAAATGTTCAGTTTCAAATTTCAAAGAAAAGAGAAATTTACATGCTGATCTGAAATAGGCGAATTTTCCATAAACAACCACAAAGATGTCGCTAATTAAGAATTAACATTAAATGCTTGGTGCTCACTTCGTTTGGATGAACACTATTAAGGTGTAACCCCAAAAATTCTTCAAAAGTTTTTCTTTAGTGCATTTTTAAGATACAGAAGACCTATTTTTGTGCAATGGGACCATACAGAGGAAAGTTACACATTCACTTAAAATCATTTTAATGAAGAACGGCAATTCTTATGTTAATTGTACAATAGTGAAACTATAAGATTTTTGTGAAAACGAGCTACCATCAACCAATAAATTATTAAATGTTTTAAAGACCATTAAAAATACTTCCTCACGCAATAGAAGGATCCAAGGGTGGAGGGTAACTCTCAAAGAGAGGTGCACCCTTCTGGGAAAGACCCTCGATGCCGAAGGGATGACCTGGGGAAAGCCACTTCCAGTAAAAGACTGGTTACTCCTAACTATGAATATGGCTGTCGTGGACATTGGTTCTAAAAAGAGAGGTGGAATGTAAATAGTATCCTACACTGCTAAGCTAAGACTTAGTTCATTGGTTTAAAACCAATTGGGAATCACACCATTATAAGCCAGTTTTAAAGGGTGAGTTTGGTGGTTGTTATAGCTATAGGATGATTGTTATTTATAAGTCCCCTCACTATTCTACAATTTTTACTATGTCATTGAAATTTCAGCCAAGACACCTACAATATCCATGATCAAGGTCATAAAGTAGGTAAGCTATGAATGTGTTCTCATAAAGTCGGCCAAGTTGTAATTAATAATAATTTGGGAAGATCTAAAATTTATGGAATGTATGATATTATGTTTGATCATAATATTTCATTGATTAAAAACTCTTCTTGTGCCTATATCTGGTAAAAAGGATATTCACAACCGACGCATAAGAAGCTAATTCAAGTGAAGAAACCTCCATCCATTGCATTGTCGATTTTTTCTATTCACTGAATTTGCATCATTGCATTTTGATATTTAATGCAATGTTTTAGAAATTGATTCAAAAAAGAAAAAAAAAGAAAAAAAAAAGGATCAAAACGTCAAAGGGTCAAACTTGGAGCCAAACCGGGTCCCCCGTTGATTTTCAAAAATTAAATAAATAATTATTCATAAATTTGCAAAAAATCAAAAGATAGGTTTTCTCACGGTTTTCATAAATTTAAAACAGCGAAACTGGAAGCAGGTCAATAGTTTTCATAAAACCAGACAAATTGATGGGTTTTGGATGGTCTTTTAAAATATGGCTATTTTCCTCAACGAAGCATAATACACGTACTATTCATTTAAATGGGACTTGAACCACTTGATCGAGTCTCATTTAAATGAGTTGTATGTGTATTATGCTGGACTCATGGAAGGAATTAATTTTGAATGGCAAGGAGTTGCGCGGAAAATTAAATCTTTCCTGTCTACTTGTACTGGACTGCTATACAAGGTGAAAAGACTTCCAGACCGAGATATAAGCTCTCTTCATTCTCTTAACTATCCTATTATATATCCAAAGCCATCACAAGTGCAACTAATATCTTGGAAGAAACCCACTGGTCACTTTGTTAAAACTAAATGTTGATGGGGCGTCGATAAAGAACCCTGGTGGAGGGGGTCTAATACGTGATGCAAAGGATTTTTGTTTGGCAGGTTTTGCACATCATTATGGACATACCACGAATACGATTGCGGAAACTTGAGCTCTTCTTGATGGCTTGAGAATGTGTAAATGTGTAATGAACTTGGATTACAAGATGTTATGGTGGAATCGGATTCAAAAGTTGAGGTTCGATGGATGGAAAAACAAGCTTTTTCCTTATGGATCCTCCAAGATTTTTGGGATGAAATTNAAACTAAATGTTGATGGGGCGTCGATAAAGAACCCTGGACAAGCTGGTGGAGGGGGTCTAATACGTGATGCAAAGGGTTTTTGTTTGGCAGGTTTTGCACATCATTATGGACATACCACGAATACGATTGCGGAAACTCGAGCTCTTCTTGATGGCTTGAGAATGTGTAATGAACTTGGATTACAAGATGTTATGGTGGAATCGGATTCAAAAGTTGTGGTTCGATGGATGGAAAAACAATCTTGTTCCTTATGGATCCTCCAAGATTTTTGGGATGAAATTCTAGTTTTGGCTAAAAGGGTAAATGTTAGGATTCAACATGTGTACCGGGAGGCGAATATGGCTGCGGATTTTCTTGCAAAGAAGGCAAGTGATGGATATTCTTTTGAGTTCTCTCATGGTGATTCTATGCCTCTTCTTCTTCATGGTATTTTACTTACAAATCGTTGGGGATTACCGCATATTAGATGTTAGTTTTGTTTTCTGTCTTTATTTTGAAGTTTGGATTATTGTTGCCATGGTTCTCTTTCCTCCACGACAAGTGAGGATCTCTGAATAAATTTTATTTGAATTAAAAAAAAAAAATGAGACTCGAACCACTTGATCTAAAATTTTGTTGAACCTTATTGAACTACTTGATCTTAGAGTTAAAGTTGTTAGATATGACCACGTGATATCATTTAAATATTTCTTCAATACCATGTTGGAATTTATAGAGTAAATTTAATTCTATAAAAATTCATTTTTCTCCAACTCATTTTCAACCATACTTCCCATAAAATAATTTTAAATGTAAGTCCAAAATTTTTTCATACTTTTTAACCATACATTTTCAAAAAAATCAATAATACAAAATACATTCTTTCGAAAAATGAGGTTCAAACACACCATTAATAAATAAGGAAACAAGTAAAAATTTCCCCAAGTTGATCTTCCAAATAGGTATATATTCTAAGTTCAGTCCATTTTTAAAATAGATCAAGCACTAGTCATACATAAGTGTACACCTGGTTTAGTTACATTTATGATCTTGGTCCTACAAGGTTCGACCAAATGAATCATGTTTTCGACCATAATAATAATTTGATCCACAAAATTCAGAAACAAAATTTGAACTTAAAACTGATTTGGAAGAGTTTC